GCAAAAAAACCTGGGAATTCCATCCTAGGAGCACTCCATTGTAGAAGAGCACAATGGGATCAGCTGTACAAGGTCAGAGCCTGGTTCCCCCTCTCATGTTGGGTTGTGCCCTGTTGCAACAAAGCTGTTTTGTTGAATCCCACACTGCTCAGCATATTCTGTGACCGTGGGCCTTGAAGTGCAGGTCACTCATCTCATGGACAGCAAAGGGAGCTTTGGTTGCTGAGTTTCTGACGTGCTCAAGGGGTGTGAAAATTGAATAGAAGTCTTGCTGCCTTTGCTATTGCTGTATGATTGACTCTGAAATCCTGTTCCATGAAGATGCAGAGGATAAACTTTACTTCACTTAGCTGTCATTGGATTAATGAGTTCATTGATAGATTGTTGGGATCCCAGAGAGGAAAGCCATCAACCACATTTTGTCAGAACAGTCCTCTAATGTGCTTTAATAACAGAGAAGAAAATTTAACCTCTCATTCACCTTTTGCTGCAGAATGTAATCTGAATATTAAACCATCCTGCATTCTGTGTTTTTTTGAACCTTAGTTTTCAGGAGAAATAGAAGGGCTTTCTCTGAGGTCCTGCAGTGACTTGAAGTGTGTTCTGGGGGAGGCTGGCTGCAGGGTGGTGACCTGGAGGACCAGATGAGGTCCACAGGCTCCATTTTCCTGTGCTGATGCCTCTTGCTGTGGAAAGTGTGTGTCCTGAAATCTGGAGCATAACCTTGATTTCAAATAATTTTTGTAGCATGGAGGAAATTGGTCTTTAAAAGCTCCAGGCAGAAATTTCACCTCTTTCTCTTGGCTGCTTGCCACTGTCTGTCTTCTATAGGCTATGAAGATGCTAACTGAATGCAGTGCCTTGCATTCTTGAGGCTTTATTTCCTCAAGCATTTATTTGATAAGAAAGAGGCTGTTCAGGGTTCAGCATCTCCTTTGATCTCTCTGTCATAAGGCTTTCTGGAGTGCCTATGCAGAGCCATGGACTGAAGCTGAAGAAGCACTGAAGGTGGGCTAGCAGCTTGCTTGCTGTGCAGTTTCCAGGTCTTCTGCTCCACTGGAGAGACAGCAAGGAGGCTGTGTCCCTTTTCTGAGGCTGAGCAGAGAGCATTGGTCTTGAACTTTTGTTGAATGCAGGAAACTTGAATCCTGTACAAAGCTAACTTCCCAGGAGTCCTTAAATACACAAACCAAGCAGTGAAAGGGAATTGTCTCTTATTCATTTGGTGAGATTCTCTCACCCCTCTACCCCCCATGTACTTATTAAGTCATGTGTTCAGCTCAGCAAAGCAAATGCTCAGAACACCATCCTGGATCTTTATTTATTTTGCCCTATCACTGCCCTCCAATAGAGTACTCCAAATATTTGTCCAGTTGGTTCAGTTTGCAAAGGGGATACAAGGACATTTCTCCTGTTCTTGGAGATTTCTTATTACTTTTCAGACTCATTAGTTCCTGTAATGAGTTGGAGAGTTCTGAGTGAATGCAGCACAGTGGGGTTATCAATGGAAATGTTATGTGGGATAGCAGAGACAGCCTGGATCTAAAACATCAGACCAAGTGAGGGTGGTGGTGACTGCTAAGTTCCATTCTCTCTTTTGGAGGTAAAGCAAACCCTGCAACTTCGTAGGAGTTTAATTGCTTTAAAGTACACCCTAGCAATGCAAATAGGGTCTAATAATGTCAGTATTATTTTTGTGATTGCATTGACATAAGAAGCCACTCTTTGCAAGTAATTAATTAATTCACATTTGTGGTAATCCAGCCCATCATGCTGTGCTGGGAGAGGCAAACACTGTTTTTAGTAAACCTTCAGTCCTTTCCATGGCCCTGCATAGGAATCCATGCAGTGGATTTGCTGGCCATGGCTGAGTCTGGCTTTTGAGGGGTGTGGCAGATTCACATCTTGTGTGCTCTGTACCTCTGCAGCAGGAAGTCTGTGCATGTGCAGGGATTGCAAACACCGTTTGAGAGAGGGTTAAGAACATATTAGAAAGCTGTAGACTGGGGAAGTGCACCCAGTGTTCCACACTAAGGAGAAGTGTCCTGCATCCCTCTGCAAGCATCTTCTCCCAGCTGTCCTGAGTATCACAAATACTGCTCTAAAGGACCATTTATTTAACCTGATATTTTTATCACTGAAAATCAATACACAGACAGTATTTGTTTAAAACTTTGTCTCTAGTGGTGTAATGCTCTGGGAGAGCTCACAGGGGGTTAGTGCAGCTGATTGGGCTGGGTGTACATGGTATTGATACATCCTGACACTGTGTCTGTCTGCTGTTATTAAGGCCTGGAAGTGCTGAATGTCTGGAGGTTCGATTGCTTAATGCCTGTGCACTCATGTGTGTTTGTATTGATGGGGTTTTGTCCTCTTTTTCTCATTACACTGACCTCCAGGCTAGGGCTTGTGGCTCAGAACATTTGCCAACTGCTCCCTGTAAAGTACAACTCACTGCCACCAGAATTTGAAGTCTAAATGCCACCTAATTGCTAACTTTCCTCCAGGTATGTCATCAGGTTTTTAATGATGGAACCTCCACTTTGCTGGTGGAATATATACACCACATATTATATGGATTTTTTTTCCTGTAATTCAGCTACTTCACCTGACTCAAAGCTTGAGAAAATCTGTGATGTTCAGTTCACTGGAAAAAGATGATGAGGTCCTAAATGGGGCACCCTTGTAGCTGACACTTGAGCTCCATGTGCCCCAGAGAACTCAACTATAAAATTGAGTTAATGCTGGAGCTGATTTGACTGTGAAGAAGCTGCCTCAGAGCTGAACTGCTTTGCAGCTGAAGCTCTACTTGTATAAGATATACCAGTTGGAAATGTATGCTTGCAGTTACAATAAACACTGCAGTCAAATGTCTTCAAAGGCTGGAAGGATTCTGAGTGAGCAGCTGAGATGACTGAGTTAAATAAATGTTGAGCTGATGCAAACAAAGCTAGATGTGAAAAAATCAACTTTCTCTTGCTTTGGTTTAACTGGAGGTGGGTAAAGCAGAAGTTAGAGGTCTAGATGAGCCAAAATCCAGGTCCACTCAAATTCTGTGAAAAGACTCAAGTCTGGAGACTTGTCAGTTTGTCCCTGTAAATTTGTTGAATGCTTTCTCAATATTTTATTTCAAATGCATTTCCCTTTACCTCAGAAAAATCTAATACAGGGTGCGTGGTGTATAAAGTTGAGAGGAAAAATTGGAACCAAATTTCTTTTTAATATAAAGAAAGAGTCTATAAGAAAGTCTACTGATGACTGCTTTAAAGAAAAGTATGCAGGAAATGCAAACATTTTCATAGATAATTGATGAGACAAGGGGGAGAAAGGATAAAAGTTGAATGGTTATGATCATCCAGAAGGAAACTTAGAAATCTTATTTTTTATTGCTTGTCAATACTGTCTGAGAATTGTTTCTCAGTGCATCTCAGTCAGGAAAGGTGTAATCAGTCCTGGTTGTTGCAATGACTTTTTGTACTGTCTGAGATTTGTTTCAAGAACAACCTCAGTGCCTCTCAGTCAGGAAAGGTGTAATCAGTCCTGGTTGTTGCAATGACTTTTTCATTGGTTTTTAACAAGTTGAAGTGAGATTATTTGGAACTAGATTGTGCTGATGCTCTCCTGTGGCCAGTGCTCACAGGGGATCTGTTTGACTGCACTTTGCTTCTCTTTTATCCCTCCCCAGTTCCTCCCCAGAGTTCAGCAGCTTTACAGTTGCCCTGTCTGTGTGGGCAGTGCAGGGAATGTTTAACTCCATGGCCTCTTGTCACAGGAGCCCTGCCTGTTTCACCTCCCTGAGCTGCTCCTCTCTTTTCTCTGACAGACACCTCTGCCCATGAGTTTGTGCACCTCATCTTTTAAGGCTGTCTGAGATGTGGGCTCATAGAAAGGTCCCAGTGCTTTTGGGCATGACAGATTTTAGAGTACGTGGGTGATGCAGAAGAAATGGAAGAGTTTAGTGGTTGGCCAAATTAGTACAGAATCACAGTCTTGTTTGCTGTTGAGATACTTGACTTGGCTATATTGTTACAGCACTTAAATGTGGAAAATGGTTAGATGTGATCTATGCAGAAAAGAGAGCAGGGTTTGGTTGTAGAGATTCTTACTCTTTGAGTCCTGACAGCATATGGGAACCTCCACTTACATGAAAGTATCCCTGAGGTACCTTCCATAACAAAGGACAGTATTTATGAGCTGCCCTGCTAAACTGTCACCTTTCCATTGTTGCTTGACATTTGTTCTGTAACTCCTGTGGTCTGCTGCTTCATTCCTTTGTCTGTGGCAGACACCCATTTGGAAAATACAAAGTGGAGCCAGTTACCACTGAATGATCTTAAAACTAGGCTGAACTTCTGTTTTCATCAGGGAGGAAGATGATGCCATCAGCTAATTTGGTTGATCAATAGCCCTGCTGGCGATAAGGTTTCAGAGCTTGTGGTTAAAAGCTGATTGCACTGGATCCAAAATAAATTTGATCTATTGGTTTCCACAAATGTAGCATAGCCTGGAATGATGTTTCAGTGCTGATGCTTAACTGGTTTTAATAATGATGACAGACTAGACTGGTGCCTGCTGTGAGGACGCTGTAATGCATGAACCCTGGGCAGCTGAGCACTGACTTCTGTTTTTTACAGCAGTGTGAAGCTGACACTCCCTAGCAAAGGTTCATTATTCTAAGAGTGGGGAGCATTACAGTGTTTGCTGAGCAAGTGTAATGACATCTTTCCTGAAAGCAAGCTTTGATTCTGGTCTCCTACAAGACAGAGGTGCTGGCAGTGATTAGACTGGATTGTTAGTTGTGGCTGGAGAAGTAAGTGTCACTGGAAAATGAAAACTTCTGTGGCCAAAGTGCACAAAAGTGTGCCAGGCATGGTTGTGATAACCATTTGGGCATGTAGTTTTAGAAAGGATTCAGCTGTGTTCTTTCTTCATGCTGTGTGGGACCATGTTCTGCTGGGTGATTGACTAAAATTTAACTGATGCTTTCATCTCTGTTTCAGTGACTGCATAATGGCTACGAGGCCCACAGAGGTCACACAGTCACCTGAAACTGGAGACACAGTCGAAGAGTGCACAGGTAAGCAGCTGTTCTCTGAGTGTACAGCTGATTTGGAAGATTTGTTTTCTTCAATTAATCAGGTCTGTAGTGAGCTGCTTTGCAGTGTTGTTTTTTGGGGGCTTCTTTTGTAGAGTAAAGAAAATTCTGTGTGTCTTTGTCAGCTGTCAGTATTATGGAAAATATGTTTTAATGTGCAATGCTGGAGCAACATATCCTGTTGGAGGATATTCCTTTTGATTCTGACTTGGGTTTTAGAAGCAGGATGTTAGAGCTTGAAGGGCTGATGGTTGTGCCTGTGTTGATGGATCCTGCAGAGGTGGGAGCTGAGCCTGTTAACAATCCCCTGTCTGTGGGAGCTGTATCAGTACCCCCAGCAGCCTCTCTCTTTCTCTGCAGCCATTTGTTACTTATTTAATCTGGTTTGATGCAAACAGTGTGAGGGGATGGAATAATAGTTAAGAAATTAAAATATCATACTTATGCCAGAGACTTGTCTACATGAAAGGAGATCCCCTTTGCCAGTTTGAATATGAGGAATAGCATCATGTCTGAAGCATCTCTGGAGAAGTGGCTGTCACAACATTTGATTTTTTCTCTCTTTTCTTTGGCTAATGTTTTGCAATCGTCTTAAATGTTTGTGTTTTAAAGGTCATCTTGCTTTATCCTTTAGAAATATATTTGCCACTATCAAAATATTGTTAGAAGAGATAAGCAAATTGCAAAGAGACTGTTAGTTGAACTCTGCTTGGCAGATGGATAGAGGTGAAGAAAGTGTAATGATAGATGCTCAGCACTCCTGGTTTCCTACATTTATAATCTGGTTTGTCACACAGTCTGGTGCTATCCCAGCAATCTGGTAACCTTGTTTGAAGCCAATGCCTGAAAATATTGTACTCACGTTCACTAGAAGATTCAGAAAAGAGGTCAAATTCTGACCTGGGTGATAGGAAAAGCAGGACATGATCTGAAGTGTTGCCTCTAAATCCACCAGGAATATTTCTGACCCTAAATGAACAAAATTTTAAATAGTTAAAGGCTGCTGTGCTGTTGCCAAGGAGTTCAGGAGACACTTGGCTGGACCTGGACAAAGCCATTTCAGAATCTTCTGTTTACTTCCAAAGGTAATGAAGGATTGTTTCACCTCTCCCTCTTCATAATTAGCTCACGATGTAAAGGCTCTGGGAGGGTAAAATCCCCACCCTTCACAGTCCAGTCAGTCAGACTGATTTCTTGAGGTTTGCTTTGTTGTCTGTAGTGCAAGGCTTCCAATGCATGCTACTCCTTTTTTTTTTTGTGGCAGGAACCAGGTTGCTGTCCAAAAACTGTTAGCACCCAGCGTTGGTGATACTGAATTCCATGATTTTATTGTCTGACTGCCAATATCTGGTAATTTTATGAAGCTACAATCATGACACTTTCTGAGGATCTTGTCTGTGGGTTGGGGTTTTTCCCAGGTGTTTTTAATGTTGAAAATATCTAGTCCTTGGATTTGAGGGAAACAGAAGATACAAAATACTTCCTGAATGCACCCTAGGAAGTCAGAGACCATAGAAGATCCCCAGATGAATAGTTTAATTTGAATGTGATCATTGACATCCCTAATCAGATGTTCCCTATGTTTTTTGCAGTTTCAATTTTTGCATTGGAAGAAGCAACCTTTTATTTTCTGTCTTGTTATAAGGAATAACTATTCAAAGAGCAGAAAGTCCTGAGTTAAATCTCTGTGTACAGGAGACACAATGGAATAGGCAGTACACATACAGTAAAAAATACAGAATTCACAAACTTTACAGAGAAAGGAAAATGCTTTCAAAGAGCAGAAAGTCCTGAGTTAATTCTCTCTGTGTACAGGAGACACAATGGAATAGGCAGTACACATACAGTAAAAAATACAGAATTCACAAACTTTACAGAGAAAGGAAAATGCTTATTCTTGCTTCTTTTCTGTTGTAGTTGGCTAAAACATAGCATAAGCAACTAATTTTTGGGAAGGCTTTTCCTTTTTAGGGCAGTAACCTAGGAATTTAGTGTTTTATTTTTAATGCCGTAAAACAAGATTTGCAACCATAAGATTTCAAAAATCACCAGTGGATGAAGGAGAAATAGGCATAGTTGTTTGAACTTGTATTTTTGTTATGCCATGATTTTTTTTCCGTTTCTTGTATTTTATTAGTTCAAGTATCATTGAGGATTCTACCAATTTATTGTCATGTTGGGCTGTTTCACAGTGCACTGAGATGCAGGCACCTTTAGCTTAAAGGTGGCATCCTTTTCATGGTGTGCAAAGCCAGAGCACAGCTGTTCCAGCAGGAAGCAAACAAGAGCATTGTCCTTCTGAGCCATGTCTCTTTTGCTAAGTGCTCCCTCACAGATCAGTCCCACAGTTTCCATCCGCATCCAGCACTAAGTGCCCATTAGTGATTTGATCTTTTTTTACATAATAATATGGCAAGTGCCAGTCTCTGGAAGTGCAGGGAAACTTACTGTCTTCTCATTCATCTGAGGCAGCTGAATGTTTGCAGCTGAGCAGAGCATGGTTGAAGAGGAGTTATTGCTGGAGGGGATGTACCCCACACAGCAGCAATAAATTAGAGTCTAGAGGAGGCACTGAAGTGCCTGATGTGTCTGCATCAGATCCCCTCTGTTGCACAATGGTGCAAGTGTTGTCCCATGCCAGCTGGGGATTGCTCACTGGCAGTGTTTGGAAATTCTTTTCTGTAGCCTCCATTCTACAGTTAGCACCACTTCTGATCTAGACAAGTATTTGGAGCAGTACCTTGGCAAGGTTTGCTTTTGTGGCAAGACTTATGTCTGCTTCTCCCAAACATCCTTAGGAGCACTTGCTATTGTGTGGTGGGCTTTTTGGAGCGGATTTTGGTTCACTTTGGGTTGGTTTTTTTTTTTTTAACTCTCCTGGTTCTCTGGAAATACCAGCATTAATTAAGCTCATCAATATTTCACTTTGGGTTTTGTTTTTTTTTTAAACTCTCCTGGTTCTCTGGAAATACCAGCATCTAATTAAGCTCATCAATAATGCCTGCACTGGAATCCAGCTTGCTTTCTGTCTGTACAGCTGACAGTTCACCAGTGTACATGGCCAATGTACATGTCCTTGTTCCTCATTTAGATAGCTTTTGAGTTGCAGAGCCCTTTGCCTGTCTCAAAGTTTGCCATTTCATTCTTTGAGTCATTGACTATGTTAGCAGTCATTGCACAATTGATAATTTTGGGGAACTGTTTTCATTAAACTCATTAAGCTTTTGTTTTGCCTGTCTAAGATAAACCAGATCAGCTTTGACAAGTTTCCTGGAAGAATACCACACACACTGTCTGGTTGCTGATAGAAAGACAGGAATGGTCAGGATGTGTTTCCAAAGGCTCTGAAGCACACTCACCACGCTTGTTTTACTGGGGAGGCTCAGTGTGCTGGCTGTGTGACCTGTCTTCTCCTGCCACTTCTTGCTACAGCTGCAGCATGAACCTCATTGAGCCCTCTGGGAGCCTTACCAAACCCCAAACCCTTGGGATGAGCTCTGTTGGCTGGGCCACAGCAATACAACCTGTGTGTTTTCTGTGGCTGCCTCATTCACTCATTGCCTGATAAGCAGCAGTGGAAGATAACAAAGCCTTCCAGTGACAAACCCTCCCTAAGAGCAGCCACGTCCCGTTGTTGTTGTGGGACTGCAGTGAGAGCTCACCTTCCATGGTTTGAAAGATGCTTTGGTGTGAGAAGCAGCCCAGGTCACTTGGAGAGCAGCTGCAGGTCTGGGGGCTCTGCCAGGGGCAGCCGTGTCACCAGGCCCTGGGGACATCATGCCACCTCCTTGTGTGTCCTGACACGTGGTGCTGGCACTGCGCTGAGGAGCAGGGGGAGACAGGGGGAGTAGATCTCAGTGTCATTGTTTGTTTCTCAAAGTGGCCACTGTGTGATGCAGCTGTGTGGTGGCAGTTTCAGCCCAGATAAGGCCCCTGGCAGAGATCCCTGCACGCACAGGGCACACGTTGAGACACAGCATCACCAACTAAATCATTGCTGGGAGAAGACAATAATTGTCTTGAGATAATGCCCTGCTTATGAAGGAATCCTCCAGCTGTGGGCATGTATTGTGCCAACTGCTGTAAAGTGTTAATTGAACAATGAAGCTGGCTCAGATATGCAATGATGTTATTGCTCTGAGTATGTATTTGAGTCAATCACAGGGGTCTTAGTACAATAGTTTGGCCCAAACCACTCAAAGTGACCCCTCAGTGTAAGGGTCAGGGGCAAAATGCAGGACTTGTGTGCTGAAAGAAAATATACATAAGAATGTTGAAGCATCTTAGCTATTATTAAAAGATCAGTGATGTTTCATGGTGGTTTGGGTTTTTTTTTTTGTTTGTTTTGTTCTTTTCATATTTTCATTTGGACTATGGAAAATCTGAAACCAAATTAACAGTTTTCCAATGGTGTTCTTAGGGCTGTTCTATTTGGGGCTTTCCTGCACGACAATGTCTTAATTTAAGTTTGCTTCTGTGTCCCTGGAGAAGATGTCGATTTTATTTTGGGACAGTTGTTTAATGTGGAAACAGATATTTTGGTTTGTAGTTTATTAATTCTTTATCCAGTTTCAGTATTTTTGCCAACATTGAATGTCCTTCAGGTGTTGTCTCCTTAGAGCACTGAACAAAGAGTAAGCAGAACTAAACCAAACTAAGTGAAGAACATTCATACCTAAAGACATTGACAGCAATTTTTATTGAAAATACACCAAACATGATCACTGTTCAGTTGTAGACAGATACATTCTCTATATAAAGTTTATTTTTGTATAGACTGGAACCTAGGTAGGCACCACTATTGTCAGCTTAGTGCCAGTGTTTCTTTATAGGAACCAAATGTAAGAATTGAAGCTTCACCTTTCACTGGGCTCCAGCACTGAATTATTTACAAAGGAGCTGACTGAAACTGAATGGGCTGCTCCGGCTTTGAGGCTTCCTCCAGAATTTAAGAGATAACATTACCCAAGCTAGGCAACACCACTAACTTTCATAAATTTTCTTTTTTTTTTTCATGTTGCAGGAAAGAAAAAATCCAAATTTCAGACTTTCAAGAACTTCTTTGCCAAGAAGAAAAGGAAAGAACCTCCACCTCCCAGGGGAGAGAGTAATTTAAAACCTTGCCAGTCCAGCAGCGATGTCAGCATCGCTGTGCTCAACACTGCTGCACTTCATTCACCGAGGGAGGCTGGGTAAGCTGGCAGGGAAGGAAAATAAATAAAAGTGGACCTCTCGCAGCAGTAGGATGAAAGCATGAGCTGGCCCTTTGGGAGCAGCCTCTGTCCAAATTTGTGCAAAACAAGCCCTAATGCTGATGAAGGAATTCCAGGAATTTCCTCTTTCTTTGCTGGTGCTTGGAGAGTCAGCCTGGGAAGGAGAGGGAGAGCAGGGGTGCTCCAAGCTCTTGGTCTGAGACTGCAGATAGCCCAGATTGCTTTGATTGTTTTTAGCGTTTGAAATCTGTCTAGGAGGGTCTGATCAGCAGCAACCTTACACGAAGAGGATGGTGGCTGAGTACTGCTAGTACAGAGAAGACGTGTGAGGCTGTGTGGGTGTTTGTCAGCATCACTGATGCCCTCTGTCGTGGCTGCAGTAAAGAGAAAAGTATTTCTGGTATATTATCAGTGCGTGATCGCTTCTTTAACTTTCTTACCTGGCCCTTTAGGCGCAGATAACAGCTGAAGGGTCCTGTTTTTGTGTCAGCCATCCTTGCAGGGCTGTGTGTGTGAGGTTTGCAAGCCCATGGGAGCATTTCTGAGCTCCTTGAACGGTGTTAGTGCACAAGGATGTCCTTTTCTCAGGCAGTGATACGAGCTGTCAGCTTGCACTGCAAACACTGCTTCACTAATAATCTTTAGACCATCAAACTACACAACTACTGCCCTTAGAGTCCCATCATTTCCTCTGGCTTGGTGGGAAGCTTGAATTTCGATACACAGGAATGAACTGAGCACTTGTATGGGGAAATCAGTGTGGGCAGGCATTGGCTGAAACATCTGGCCTTTAGTTAGTGCATCTTCAGCTTCAGCAGAAATATACATATACATATAAATATACTGCCTGGAATTACAGAGGAATGTAGATTTGCACATAAAAGACTGATCTGTACTAAAGCTGCAGTTAATTCTATATTTAATCCTGTGCTTTTTTTGGTGACTGCCAGAAGAAAATACAGTAATTCTCTTGCCAACACATCTGATACATATTCAGAGAGAGAAAGAAAGACAGAGATCTTGTATTGGCAGTCTCAAGAACAAGGAGACCTCAGCCCTTATGGGTAAAGAATTCCCCAGATGGAAAGGCAAATACATCCTAATGTACACACATTCTTTGCAATAAATAAAATATGCCAGCTAATACTGAACATACATTGCAGTAAATAAAAGCTGCATGACTGTTTTTCCTAATGCAGTAAAATTGTGTCTTGCCCATATGGAATATCTCTCATGCTGAAAAGGACTATAAAATCAAACACAAAAGGATGGGATGGCTTCATTAATGAAGAAATAAGGCAAGTGCCTTGCTTGTGTGTAGAGCTGCTGTCCTGTAGACTAACAGAGCTAATAACCATGATATATAATGGGAGGAAGCACAAACTCTGACCTGTGCTGTGAGAAAAACAGCTCTGATTGCCTTCAACACAACATAAACTTACAGAAAATTTATTTTGCCCTGCTGTGGGGCTGTGTATAGGTGTAGACTGACTGACTACACCTTTGGGGCAACAGAAGGGTTAGCCCAGCAGCTAGGGGAGGGGTCTCTGGAGGTGTAAAGAAGGGGGATGCAGGAGGAAAAAGGGGTTTTGTTTGGGGTTTTTTATGTAGTGCATTTACTTAATGAATGTTCACAGTCTTTCTCGGCTTTCTTCTAAATAAAGAGAGAATCTGTGGTTAGGCAAATAGCAGAGACCTCTTCTATTTTACTTCCTTGCAGAAGAGCTTTTACATGCTGAGTTTGTCTTGTCAGAATTGTGTTCCTAATCATCCTCTGCTCCCCAGAGTCAAACTTTCAGAAGCAAAGCATTGCCTGTGTAGCATCTGAGCCAAGGAATCCTTGTAATTTGTATTTGTTAATAGTCTGCTGGCCAACAATGAGAAAATATTCTGTGATGCTTTCCAGTTTAAGACTAGGATGAAATCCTGGTAGAGGCTATCCTTGTTGTCTTTGGACAAAGTAATGTACAAATAGCACCTGCCTGTGCTGGTGGAACTTGGTTAATAAATGATTTGGAGCCTTCCTTGTTGAGCCACTCGGGTGCAAAATTTGGTCTGCATAAATTAATAGCCCAAGCCCAATCAATCTCAGTTAATTACAACTCAGTTAACAGCTGCTGTGGGAACTCATCATGGCTTCACTGGGCTGAACAGCCAATGAGCACAGAAATAGAGCAGGAATGTCTCACCTAGGCACTTTAACCTGGCCATTGATAGGTCTGTAACTCTAGCCATGGACACTTGTCCCATCTACATTTTTTAAACACTTGGGATCTGATCATATTTAGGATATGGGTGAATGCAACTGGTTTTATTGCTGGACATGAGAAGATTCGACATCTGACACACACCAGGCTGCAAAAGCTGTATCCTGAATGTCTCATGTTAGCCACACTGCCACCAAAGGAGGGCAGGGGACTCCTGTTGTCCCTTTCTGCACCTTTCTGAGGGTGGTTTGCATCCACCTACCTCCTAACATGGGACCTAATCACACTGGACTCCCTCTCCAGGCAACAAACTGACCTGTGTGTTCAATGCAGATGCTGAGTGCATTGCAAAGGGACATCTGCATTTGATCAAATGTGTTTTTCCTCTCTTCTGAGTTTAAAAGAAACAAAGAGTGACTGTCTTAAACATGCACAAATCTGAAGTGAAGCATGATGCATCCCACTGTGGCCTCTTTATCACCCTCTGCCCTGGTGTGGGGAATGTACCCAGTGCTCTGACCACTCATCCTTCCTTCCTTCCATTCCAGGCCCAAGGGCAGCATGGGAAACAAAGCCTTGTCCCATGACAGTGTCTTCATTTTTGAGTCTGCACCAGGAAATGTGACAGGTGACGGCTTGTCTCAGGAAAACATACCTGGAAGGGTGAAAACTTTACAGGTGAGAGCACCATCCCCCCATCAGTAGTGCTGCTTTTTGTCAGCTGTCTCCCAGGAAAGTCTGTTGCTTGATTCCTTTTGCTGTGTGCCTTAGGATTTTGCTGACTGAAGTGCCTAAAGCCAAATTTGCTACTTTTGGATCTACTCTGCCTCTTGGAAGCTGAATTTTTGAACAGACCTGGTGCTTTGAGCCTTGCCCAGGTCTCTTAGTGTGTGATGTGAATCCAGTTCATGAACTCTTGGAAACTTTCTTTATTAAGTGTGTCCTCTTCCAATGGGATTTATGTTCTTTACTTCATAGCTACTGCTTTTGGGTTAAGGCCATTTATTTATACTGCAGTGTGTCCTTTAACTGTTATTATTTAAATATTATTTGTGTTACTCTTTTTGGCAGTTCTGGCTCAGATGTTTTCACTATACATGGTAGTGCCAGTGGCTGTGTAAGTGTGTGGGATGATGGATATGTCAGGATGCTCTGACAGCTTTATTTATATAATTATTCTTTTGATTTCTGTCAGCAAAAGACACTGTATTCTGCTGGGTCATTTCCTTTTTCCAAGGAAATACTGAACCCTCCTTGACAGCTCCCTTATGAACTGTTGATTATATTAATTGCATGTCACTAACTGCCCAGCTTGGAATACTCAGATAAAAGTTTAAGGTTTTTCCAGAGACTGAATACAAATGGTTGATAAAGGAGCCAAAGGTCATTGAAATTCCTCCTTTGCTCAGTGTGAGCTTCATGTTGCAAAAGACAATTGAGTCACATGTTAAGTAATAGAAGATGCACAGAGGGACTTGTTCCTCTCTAAGGCTGCAACACGGGCAAAGCTATTTTTGTATAACTAAAGGAGTAGCGGAAGAAAACATGTTTGTATATTACAGAACATTGTTAGGGGGAAAAAGCTCTTTTCATGCTGTTTGCAGTCCACTGTGCGCTCTCCCCATCCATCATCCTCCACAGTAATGTAATACTGCCAGCACTATTTTTGTAGCTCTGACAGACAGGCTTTTTCTGTGAGCTTGACTCTTGTCAGAATAAAAGCCAAGCACTAATAAAAGCAGTTACTTTCTTAGCAATGTAAATTAACTTCCACCAGTAGAAGACAGAATGCAAATTCAGTTTCCCCCACACCACTTTTCTGTCTGCATGTAATAAATTTAATAAATCTAAGACAGGAAGTTGTGAAAAGAGACCAAAGCAAAATTGACTTTCTGTCTTTTCCTTCCCATTAAGTGCGCACTTATATTGCATGCCTTGTGCTGCCCACATATCACAGCATTGCAATATATTGCCCATAAATTGCAAAAGGAAGCTGTTTGAACTGGGGTCTGGTGTTCCAGACATCGTGCTACCCTGTGTGGCAGCTAGATCTATAGGAATTACATTGCAAATGAACCTTGCTGAATAAGAATTGCAGCTTTTTAGGTCTATTTTACAGAGGTGTAAATGACTGCATAGATTGCAGGAAAACACAAAACTAGGCTTAAAATTACCCAATATGGTTTAATAAGCAAAAAAACAAACAAAAAAAAAAAAAACAAACCAGAAAAAGTAAGTCTGGATGTTTATCTTTGGAATATTCTGTTGAGATGTTTTCAGTTGAAGGACAAAGTTTGTGTTCAGACCTTGTTTCTATTCCAGCTTTGTCACAGCTGACAGACTTAAGCCAAGAATTTTAGTAATGGTGTTTCCTGAGATCTGAACATTTTTAGTTTGAGGGAACATCTGGCTGCTTGTGAGTTTGAAGACTTTGTTGTATTTTTCTAGGGTCAGGGCCGGCCAGAGCATTCTTTTGTGCAATCCTGGAAAAGAATCCCCAACTCCTTTACAAACCAAGTTGTTCCTGGCTGCTGTTACCATTCTTGCTGTAGACATGACCAGGATGTGATGGTGGGGGAAATTAACAAGCAATTAATTAGGGTGGACCAGAAATGAAATTAATTTGGTATTGTATAAAAATTGTGACTCAGCTTGCTTGTGTGGGAGAGGGTTGTAACAAGCTCTCAAATTTGGAAGGGCTTTGTGAGGGAAAGGTGACTACATAAACCTGGGATTGGGAATGCTGACTGACAATACTTTGTGTGACTAAATACCTAAATTTATGTGACTAAATAGTTAAATCTAGAATTTTGAAAGTTTTAAATTTAAATTGAGTTAAACTGTAGTAAATTTTCTGGAATGGTGAGATTCCTGTCTTCTTTTGTTAAATAACTGAATAAAACCGATTTTCATTTTTAATTTTAATTTTATACCAACACCAGTTTTAATGATGGATCCTTGATGAATGCAGCTGGATAAAATTTTATTAATGGCTCTTTTCTATAAATTGTTACTTCAAGTTTTTCTGTTAACTAGAAGATCCTGTATATTTAATAGGAGCATGTGGGTCACAATGTCCAGAACATCTTTTAATTGTACCAATGAAAGTTTATATTCTATATTTCAACCACAGCTTCAGCTGCAGCAGAATGTCAAACTTGGATCACCTCCTCTTGTTATAACTGGGAAAAAACTGGAAGATGCAGGTGCTGTTTCTGAAGATGATGGCTTACCTAGAAGCCCTCCTGAAATTTCAACCCTTCATGAAGTTCTGACAGATTCACCAAACAAGGTATAATTGACCATCTGTACAGAAAAGAGAAAATCTGCCTAGGGAAGGGGAAGACCATTTTGTTTGTTTGTACATGATGGTACAGATCAGTTAGAACCAGAAGAAATTACCTAGATGGATTGTGGACTTTTCACTCAGAGGTATACCTAGAAATTGACCCTGCAAATACCCTTTCTGGGTGCAATTTCCATGCTTGTCTGTAGACCAGGACTCTGACCTCTATCATTAGCAAATGCATGATTTCAGATTTCAGTGAACTTGTGAGAATTTGTAAATGTGATGATTTGAAAATAGTGACCCAAAATAACTTTATAAAATATACTGCCTCCTATGGTCAGCCTTCCTGGAACTTCCCAATGCAGGAGAAATCTCCCCTGCTTTACGTTTGATGCCAATGAAGAAATTAAACCTACTGTGTAAGGCAGGGACCAGTGACCCTTCCTTTCTTTTTCCTCTTGTGTGTTCTCATAATTAGCACTGGATATCCAGCTCAAGGTAATTCAGTGTGATACTTCCCTTGACTTACCCTCTTCCTCATTTTGTCCCACAGTCCTCCAACCCTGTTCAGCGTCATAGCTCTTTGAGTTTAGGCGGAACAGACAGTGAAGATGAACAGGTAAATAGCTCCTTTTCCCACTAATAAACTTCCCTGAGATGGCATATGTGGAGTCTGTATGGAGCCAGTACAGTAATTTTGTTTTTTAAAATTTATTCTGGGTACAGTGTATCCTAGGAAACAATTCTTTAAGAGTCCGGAGTGAGGCAAATGATACTTAAAATGTACCTCTCAGGGTTTTCAATAGAAAAATAAAGTCAGGCATAAATCTATTGGTAAGTGGGTTGTATGAACAGCACAGAGGCAGCTCTATGACAGAGTATGAATCTATAAAGTTACACAAAACATTGGACCAGGCAAAGCACTTCAATTCTGCTCCCATGTCCCAGGGCCCCCTTACCAAATAATCACAGCTTCCCATCAGCAGTGGCTTGTGAGCAGTGCCCCAGATCTCTCTTATCATGGGAAATGATTGCAGGACCAGCCTTTCCTGATGGCAGGTATTCCACAGGAAAGGGTGTGTTTTAATTTGCAATTTTCTTTGGATGATAAATGACCATGAGAAGCAGCAGGTTCTGCTCTCAACACAGTCCTTGATCAGATTGGAAAAATTTGCAGAGGTCATACTTTTTGATGCACCTTGACAGTTTTCGTAGATGAGATGTGAAGATGTTTTCATGATTCTTAAAATTTCAGCAGTATATATATTTGAAATGCTGTGTTATGTCCTAAGCTTAAACAAAACTAAACTGCAAATGCCAGGCACAGTGCAATGGCTGAGTGTCACCCAGCTTTATGAATGAAGCTTGTTTGGCACATCTGGGACATTTTGCAAGTGTTCCAGCAAGTTTGGTCTGCATTTCAAAACAGCAGCAAAACCACTCAAACTTCATGTTTAGGGGGCTTTTGTACAAACATTTCTGCAAACCCTTTATTTTGATTGCACTATCCTAGGTTACTGCTGCTAGGTTATTGCTGTGAGGATGAGATTCATCACTGTCTGGAAGATGGTTCTGATATTCTGAAAATAATTTGATTTTCCTGGAAGTAGATATTGAAAGAGAAAAGCGGCTGTGGCAGCTTTCTTAGGGATAACAAGGAGCAAGCATCCGTGCTATTTCTGTGGCTTTTAAATAATGTATTTCTGCGGTGGGTCACGTTACTGGGGTGAGAGGCAGCCGTACAAACGGCAGCAGTGTCTCCTGCTGGTGTGTGCATCAACTGCAGAGGGGTTTGCAGAGGAGAGCTGGGGTGGGGACGGGCTGAGCCTCTCCCTGGGCACAGACAGGTATTTCTCCTTCTGTGTTATGTACAGCTGAACACACAGAACCGAGCAATCTCTCTGCAGAGATGGCTTTAGCCATGCATTTTAAAATGAGGATTTATGGCCGAAACTACAGCCATTTAAAGCTTCTGAAATGGAATGAGCTAACAAAGGAAATGTTCCAGAGATGTGGGGAAGTAAAGCAAAATACATACAGCATTGTGTTTCTGTTTTACAGATACCTTCTGGAGCTTCCTCCAGGCCCATCAGTCCTTTATCCTCTGCCACTCAGGGGACCCCCATCTCACGAGGCAGCAGCTTCCTTCCTGTCGATTTTACCACCCCTGCCAGTCCCCTTGGCTGCCTGGACACCTCAGCAGCCAGGCACAGGATTGCCATCAACCCTCGGAAACAGAGAGGCTTTACCAACAAGCATCAGCTGCTCCTCCAGGTGGGTGTTTCCTGCAGAAGAATCACTGGGCAGGAGGAAATTACTGTGAGTTTTTAATTATTGTTTTAAATATTTTAATTTCTTTTTTCTTTCCTATCCACGTTTACATCCTTCATTGGAAGAATGGAAAACACCTCTTTTGCACCAACCAACCAAACAAAAAAGACTCTGGAAACTTCAGTGTCATGGAAACTGAAGAAAAATGCAATTTTTGGTTTTCATTATTTAGCCAAAAATTGTGGGTTATGCTTCATTTGTAAAAACACTTCTGGTGTTTGAAAAGCTGAATGTCAGTTTTAAAGAGGCCTATGTCTATTTTTACAAATCCAGTTCTTAACTGGAATAGTACATTTCTCACAGTGTTGGTAAATTACAGGAGGGAGGTTTTGTTTCTATGATTTGAGTATTCATAGAAATGCATGTGTATAAACTACAATTTTTGTGCATGATTCTTTAATTAAAGCATCTTCACTTCTTTAGGTGGAACAGCTGGAAAATGAAACTTGTCTTCCTGCAACTCCAGAAAGGAAGGGAAATTCAATAGATTTACTTGAGAGTGACAAACATAAAAGCGATTGGGAAGGTAAAGAAGACACAGGTATTGCTACTTTGGGTGCTTGAACTCTTCTGCATAACACCGACAGGACCTGTTTGAATTGTTAGTCCTTCCAAACTAGGCATCTTTTGGTTCTATAACATAAAACCAATCCTGCTGAATTGCTGTGATGGAAAAAGTCAAGTACACTCAACAAAATGATGCTGATGGTGAACTTTGAGGGCAGCACTAAAAAAACCCAAGAGCTGAAAGCACCATATTCAGAAGCACATGTCCTACACAGCTGGCTGGACCTCAGTGTGTGAAACTGAGTTCCTTGACACTCAGGAAAACCTTAACCACAGCATTATATCTTGTGTGTGTCAGGTAGCTTTGATTGGCTTCTGTTTACTGGATCTTCATTTGCCACTCACCCAGAGAGAATTTTCCCAGTCATTGTAGATGGCTGTTCTAGGCACAGATGCAGAAATGTCTAGAGAAATTTGGCCAGTAGTCTTACAGCTAAGGGTATGCGCAGGAAACAACTAAACAGCAACTCATGTGTACACCTGAAACAGACAGCAATTTTCAGTCACTCCCTGGATTAGGTACGTTCAAACTAAAATTTATTAGTCTCTCACTTGGACTGTCCATTTCTAAATAGTCTCTGAACAAGCTTATTTATCAGTCAGCAGTGCCCAGACATGGGGCATTCCTGTTAAAGGAGTGCACTCTCTGGGATGCATACAGATGGTGTTTGAATTGTAACCTTTACGTGCACACTCTTTTCCTCTGTTTAATATAGGATTATCAGCCCAGGTGGGACACTGTGCAAAGGGAGGTGATTTTAAGGAGACACCAGCTGTAAAAACTCCCACTGATGCTGCCTCTGAACCCTGTGATTCCACACCTGTGGCAGAAGACCCCTGTGCTTTGCTGCAAGGGGATGGGTGCCTGCCTGCTGTGGGCCGTCACAAAGGAGCCACACTTCTCCTGAGGCCTGAGCCTTCCCCAGTGAGCCTGCAAGAACACCACAGTGCAAGAGTGCTGTACCCTGCAGAGGGGTCTGCTGAGGAATCAAAAACACATCCTCAAAGGACCAGTGCTGAAGTACCTGCACTTCCAGAGCTGCAGCAACTTGAAGGAGAAGCTGCTGGGTCTCCAGACGTACCAGCAGCTGACTTGTTTAGCAGTGGTGTGGAAACAGTGGGCATGGATGTATTTCCAGATGTTGCACCAAGTTCCTCAGTAAATTCTGTGGATCCAAACATTAAAGCCCAGGAAAAGGGGGATCCACTGTTTAGTGGAAAGGAAGAACTCTGCTTTGGTGCTACTGGGAATCACTCCAGCCATGCTGTCTCAGATACTGCACTGAGCACTCCACGAGCTGCAGCAGCTGTCTCAGAGTCTTGTTCTGACATCAAGACAGTGGCTGATTTGAGGTCTGAAAAGAGTTCAGTAGCAAAAAATGACAAAGAAACTTGTGAAATTATGGAATTTCAGTTATCCAAGGATGGTGTAGAAAAAAAAATAGACACTGCTGCATCTGTCTCAGAAGCAGTTTGTGTGGTACCTTGCAGTCAATTGGAAGTATGTTTTAAAGCAGAAATTGTTCCTGTTTCAAAGGGTAACCAAGGCAGTCAAAAGGCCAACACATCATGCATTTCTGAAAAACTTTCCATTGGGTATCTTGCCTCTTCAAGTCTGGCTGGCTTGAAGAGTAATATATCTTCTGATGCTGACAGTAAGGAGCACCAGGTAAGCACTACAGCTTCTCACAGAAAAACAGCAGAAGGCAGTCAATCATCAGATGAAAATGTAAAAAGTCCACTGAAGACTGCTTCTGCTAAACCAGTCAGATTTACCATTGCACCAGCATGGCAAAGATCTCTCTCAGGGGGTTCAAATTCAAAGGAAGATTCCTACTCCAGAAGTTCTCCAACATCCCCCATAAGACCAGAGTTCTTTGAAGGAATGACAAAAGAACCCGCACGATTTGATGCAATTATGCAGGAATCAGCAAAAACCAATGCAGATAGATTTGATCGAGATTGTAAGGACAGAGATCTGCACTTGAATTCTTTTATGGAGTGGGCTGACCATGAAACACAAAACTTTGAGAGCCCATTTGGGGTCCGACTAAGAAGAACATCATCTTTACTAAAATACCAGACTGAAAGCCATGTAGAGCCTCCAAAGCTGATCCCCTCAGCTGCTCCAGTTGCTTCTTCTGCTTCAGTCAAGGAGGATCAGAAACTGATGGGCACTGGGAAGCCATCTCCAAGCCTTCCTGTCAACACAAAATCAGTTGTTAAAAAACCAGATCTCCTAGAAGACAAAAATCCTACCAAGGCAAGATCAGAAGAAGTGGCAAAGAAGCAAAATGGCTATAAACCTTCAGGTATTTATGCTGTATTTATATCCAAATTTTGTAGAAAGCTGTGATCATGTACTGAGCCTTGGCAGAGTGGCACAAAAAAAGAATTAAAAATAATCTTGGCTAAGAACCAAATTCAGCCTTGAGGTCATCACCACTATAATTAATTGGCTTGATGATTTGGCCAGTCAAGAGAATTCCTGGCTTATCTTAATGAAGGGTGTGTTCTAGCAAGAAGAACAACAGAGTAATAGCTTAAATGCCTCTGAAAATATTCTGGTATGAGGTATTTGGAATTTCAACACAGATTTTTAAAACTTGCTGCAGTTTTAGTTAAAAATTCAGACTGCAGCTGCTCAAACCTTAACTAGGAGTTGCATTAGGTGAGATTATTTTTTTAACAATTATTTAAAATATTTTAAAAGTGACAAGGAAGCCTGTATTTTATTGCCTACATAAAAAAAACCTTACTGTAGTACTCATTTAATCTGCCATGGATGGATGTTGTTTCAAAGGCAAAATCCAGTTCACAGTGATATCAGTGGGACATCTACCATTGACTTAGACAGAAGCACAGTTGAGTCAAAAACTGGAGAATAAACAGAAAAAAAAGTTATTGCTAAGGACAAAATCATCAGGGAAGGTAATTTTATCTCCACTATGTTCAAAGGCCATTACAGATGCTGAAGGATTTAAAATGTGAAGCACTAGCTTTAGGCTGACTTGACCTAAATCCCTTCTTAACTTCAAAAATGCTTATTTTGTAGAAAAAGTCTCTCCATATTTGGAAACTGCTTCCTCTGAACCAGCTTGGGTCTCCATGGCAAAGCTGAAACAAAAGGGTTTCCAGGACCATCCTCTTGCCAAAGAACATAAAGATGAAGACAAAGCTTTCACCAAAGTGGATCAGGGGGAGGTAGAGTGCCAGGTAATGTTGCATGGGTGTGAATCCTGCCCCAGGTCACCGGGGCACTTCTGCAAACTGTTCAATATTGTCTTCATGGCAGGTGTGTTCTGAGCACTACTCAAAGAGAGCTTTGCAGGCCAGGCCTCCAAAACACTGAGACAGACAAGTGAGGCAAGCAAGCAAATGCCTGGGACTGGACTGTCACAGGGATTCATTTCACAGCTGGATTTTCCTAATGTTTCTTTGCACTGCTCAAACCTGAACCTTTCAGAGCTTTCTTATTGCCCAGGGCATATTTATGTAGCTGCTTTGAGTTGCATTAGCTTCCTCCCTGCCTTCTCCCTCCCGCCTACAGGATGTTCCCAACCATCCTTGCCTGGCTTTGCTGCCTTTCCACAGGCAGGTGTGAGAGGTTTTCAGGGTAAGTTTTGTGAGTGCCCATGGCTGGCAGTCAGTTGCATTCTTTTTTCTCTCCTCACACAGCAGCCAGGGATGTGTGCTAGTGAGGACACGCTGAAGAAGAACATGCCTTCCAGCTCTCAGGACAGGAAAACACAAATGAAGACTGGTGTGTCTGCAGCAGCAGGTATTCTTTTTCTTTACATAGTGGCTACAGTTTGCACCAGTAAGTGGTGTGGGTGGCAGGGGATGGGGGAAGAGACACACCATTTTTATAATCAGCACACTTTATATAAGGCCTATTCAGACCATGGTTTTTGTATAAGTCAACATAATGGCTTGTTTGCTCAGCAGAGAAAGCAAGTGAGGAACTCTTATCTCCACTGCCAGTTCATGAAATGGCATATAAACAGTCTGGTGATTTATTACTGGCCAAGATCAGTACTAAAGAATAGCAGTTGAAGTTGGAGAGTGTCCAGAAGAGAGCAGCAAAAAAGGTCAGGTCTTCTAGATCTCCAGTCAGCCAGGAAATGCTGATAGGAGTAGAGTTGTTTAGTCTAGAAAAGACAACTAAATTCTCTGCAGAGGGCAAGACTACTCTTTATGGCCAGCATGAACTTAAAATGCACCAGGGGATGTTTAGCTTAGATGTTAGGAAATACTTTTTAACAATAAGAGCAGTGAGGTGCAGAAGAGCGTGGCTTGCATATGGAGAGTGTGCAGTTTCCATGGCCGGATGTGTTGAATAGATAAACATGTATCAAGAATAATTTATGTAGAGTCAGTTTCACCCTCAGGTGAACACGGAGGCTGGGTGGCCCCTCTCCTGAACACTTAGCAATGTTTCTCTGTATTAAAGATGCAGGGGAAGAGTGTGACTCACTTGGTGACTCACATTATTACCTCTTCCAAGGCTTCTGCTGGGCTGCAGCTTCTCCCTCCCTGCTTACCCAGCGTGGTGCCAAGCCTCAGTGCCACGCTCCAGCTAGACTCAGAGAAGCCAGTCCTTCAGCTGTGAAAGCATACTGTGCTAGCTGAAAGCTATTGATTGCAGATCCTGCCTAGGTAGGTAAGAAATGCACCCCTGTGCCAGACCTGTGGCATTTCCATTGCAGATTCCTGCAGCTGACACAGGAAGAAATGCTGTCTGGAAAGAGCCCATGCACCTGGCCCCTTTCTTTCCCTGTGTAATCCAGCAGCAACCAGAGCTGTTGTACTAGAGGTATTTGGCAGTACCTCTGTGCTGCTCCCTGTAGTAGTTATTGCTAGAGCTGTTAGCCATTTCTGAATCTACAGGCTCTACAAAATTAGCTTTCTCCCTTACCACAGCAGGTGACTGGCTCAGGGTGTTTGCACCAACACAGAAGCTCTGATGTTGGTTGCAGCTAATTTTGTGTGTGTGTGTATGTGTGATTAAAATACCACACCTTCTAAAAAGGATTCTGCTACAGCCCTGCCTTGTCTTGTGGTTTTAGGTGCAAAGTGAGAGATGGAACATAAACAGGCTGATTTTTGCTCAGATGAGGTCTTCCTTTGAAAGGCTGACTGGATTTCTGTACATTGCATCATCCTAAGCTTGGAAGCCCAGCCGCCTTTGGTCAAAATTCAGAACTTCACAAATTGCTCTCCACTCGTCTTTGTGGTGCTTACAGCAGAATTACAAGTTTTTGTGGGTCACCTCTTCCCCAGAATTGGCCTGGTTTCCTGACATCCAGTGACTGTTTCCTTGTCTCCAGAGGTAGCATTTATAGGCATATTCTGGTGTCCCACGACTTGAGCATCACTAAGAGCTCTGACTAGTGCTGGTGTTTAAGGAAAACACTGCTCTTCTGCTGCTCAGAAAGCCAGGCCCTATTGTTTAGGAAATGTTCAGCACTATCTGCACATGAGTAGGAAATTTGGAATCCCAAATGTAAACTCTTCTCTTCCCTGATTTGGTTCCCATTAGCCCAACCAGGGCTTTGTCTAGTTGAAAGTGCTGGTGGTAGAAAGGATGTAGAGTTAATATCCAGAGGAGTTACTTATTTGGATTGTTGTGCTTATTACAAAGAAGGTTCTCTCCCAAAATGGGAAAATTAATTTTCAAAATCAAAATTTCAGTAACACTTGAATTCCTACCTCATCTTAGATACTTGTGAAAATTTCTTGTGTATGTAGAGCTGCAGCCTGTTCAATGGACAGTATCCTGCCTCCAGTATTCTTAAGTATAGTTTGCCTCCTGCAAGAACTATCAACCAGCCAGAACTTTTAAAAGACCAGAGACTTCCTGAGTGAAAATGGGAACTGCTTTAGCTCTGCTCATGGAGTGTGACTAATGGAGCTGATGGATATTTTCAATTAATATCAGTGCAAGCAAGATCAAGCTTCTTTTACTTAACATGGCTTAGACATTAATTTTGAAAAATTAATTTAAACAAGGTGAATGGAGCAGGCCTTTTCTAAATAGGAACTCAAAGCCATCAAAGAAGAATTATCTGTGTTCCTTCATCCTTTGTGGGTATGACAGGCCTCTGTTAGGCTGCATCAAGAACACCTAGTACCATCAAAATCCTACCACCATAGCTTCCAAGTGAAAGTACATAAAGCAGCGGTTTGATTCCTACCTGGTATTTAATAATATTGCTGCAGCAATGTTTGTGTTGGCAGTGAAGACTAAAAGAAATCTTTAAGTCTTCTCAGTATTGGAAAACATAAACTTTTAGCTCCACAGCAAGCCTGGGGTAATCCTTATCCTGCAGCTATTTTGTTTCTGCTTTCCTGCATACTCAGAAGTCTTATTCCTAGATTTTCTTTGCTCTCACAGAGCATAATTAGCCTGTGGAGCTCCTTGCTGTGCAGTTTAATAGAAATCAAGAGTTTGAAAAATTAAGAGATTAATTAACCAAGAATCTGAATTAGATATAATAGTCTGTAGTCTTCACATGCTTGAAGAATTTTGAAAAATGTCCTTCATTTATCTGGGTTTAGACACTTGCTGTTCAGACTGAGGAGACCATTTTTTATGGACACGTTACTCATTGCTTAGTATCAATTTTCCTGTTGCAAGAGCTGGTCCTCACATTGTTGTGGACCAGAGAGTGCCAGCAATAGCCAATTAATAATTCTTTTGTCTTATTGGTGAGTCACAAGCATTTTGGTCTGTAAAAGAGTTTCTTTTGAGAGAAGAAAATATTATTGGCAGAAATTGATTTTTTAACTCTCTAGACTTCTGATGAGTGATGTGTATCTTCTCATGGGCAGGTAAAGTTGGACCAATTTCTCAGGAAGCATCCGTGGTTCCTGCTGTTGAAAAGGAAGCAAGGCACTCCTCTAACCTGCCAATGACACCCTGCAGTCCTGCTGAACCACCCTGGCTGTCCCTGGCCAAGAAGAAAGCCAAAGCATGGAGTGAAATGCCCCAGATCGTACAATAGCAAATGACATGACCATCCTTCTTTGCATTGCCAATAGCTGTGTTAACTCCACTTAATCCCTTCTTTACTGTGACCATTTTTTTTCTTTCCAGAAATAAGAGCCTTAAAACTTTTGATCAGACTGTTGTATATAAAGACATAATGAAGAAATGCCATTGTGGGCTTAATCTGATGTATGAGGAAGCTGAGCATTCCCTACTACCAGACACTAGGAAAATTTTGTTCATTTTTATATGCTTACACATCTGATGGTGATGTTCTGAAAAGACATGCTTCAGGCTTTTGAAACATTTCTCTAGCAAAATATGTTTTTAAAGTCTCTTTTAAAGAAACTTGTTCTTTTAAAAAGACTGTACAGTGTTTTGTAGGGTTTGGCTTTGAGCTAAGAAATTAACGTATGCTTTAAAATATTCACAATGCTGGGCACTGACGCACCGTGAGTCATGGACACTGATGTCATCACACTTCTTTCTCTAGAGCTCTAGGCTGGGCAGCCTGACTCTGCTTCAGATTGTTAATGATCTGTTTTGTGATAGCTGCAAGATCTTAACACACCTGAGTTGGAGGGTTCTGGCTTTTGTGTGATTTGAGGCCTCAGTGCTGTTGGACTTGTGCTTGCTCACAGATCCCCACTGGAATGGCCCAGAGCTGCACACCATTCTCTCCCATGCACTGGACAACCACCACACTGTAGCATGTGTCTGCTTTTAGTTATACCTGTAAAAATCTGGGTAAATTAAACATTCTACATAGTTTCTTTAACTATGGCAATAGTGATTTTTTAAAAAGATTCCTCAGCTGATTGTCTCTCTTAAAGAGTGTGTTGGGGGGAGAACTTGCTCCTTGGAAAGTGGCATCTTCTTTTCAAGAAATGCCACCCTCCATGTTCATAAGGATGTATATTTACTCAGTTGTATGTATGTTAGTCATAAAAGGGGCATCTGGTTTCCTTCTTGTCTCATCAGTCTTTAACCATTAACTCAACATCAGTCTGAGAATGTGCAGCTGGAGCAGGGCCTGGCCTTGCAGTCACTCAAACTCACAAAAGTTTTGCTGTTGACTTTGGAGGCTGCAGACATTTGAAAAATAAGCTTTGTGAAATGATGTTGGTAGGTTAAGAGACAGTGGCACTTACTGGTGCTTCCAGTTCTTGCAGAATTGCACGTCTATGTAGTTTTTGTTTACAGCCAGTGCAAAATTTGAAGTCTGATTGACTGGTTTTAGCTGGAAAGTTGGTCAGAATTTTTAAAGGAAAATATTATCTATTGATAGGATTAACTGCAAACCAAAGAAAATTGGTTTCAGATCAGCTCAAGCAAGACTTTAATCTTCCAGTTTTGGCCTGAATTTAATATGTAGTTTTTGCAATTTGAAAACAGTATTAACTAGGAGCTAGACTGTGAATTTTTTTTTTTAAAAGGTGAAAACTTACTTGCCCAGGAAGGCTCAGAATCTATAGATACTATTTATTCTGGACTAACACCAGAAAGGAATTTCACTTGATAAGGAAACAAGGAGTGGCTTGGTAATTGATGCCTATTTTGTAACTTCTTTTTCTCAGCTTTAGGAAGCATATATTTCCTTACAAAGAACTGAAACTTTTGAGTGTAATGTAAAAGAATTTACTCAGCTTTGATTCCTGGAGTTTTGTACAGCTGTCATCCCACCACAAGCTTACTGACCCTGTATAAAATACAGGCCTTTCTTTTTTTAGCAAACTCTCTTCTCATTCTGTTAATGTGGATTGTGATTCTTCACCCAAAGCACTGCAATGGATCTATAATCTCTCTTTCCCTGTGTTTACTTTTGATCTTAATATTATTCCTGTCTTTTATGTTTAGTGTATATATGTTTTTGTAATCCTTGTCTTGAAGGAACCCCTTTTGTATTCCATTCCCCTGTTTGGTTTACTATTAAATGCTGTTGCCAGTGATGATGATATCATTTCTGGGAAGAGGGATGGATGGCCCTCATTCATTTAGGAAGAAATAAAAAGAGGTCTTTGGTCAATATTGACTCTGGATAAACTGCATAGATTTTGTTTTGGGGTCATTTTGTGTGACTTAAGACTGATCAACACAGCTGGTCAGACTAAGGAACTTTTCTAAATCTAAGTTTAAGACATCATGAGAGTGCTGATGGCTCTCCTGTTGCTCTGGAGTTATTGCTCCTTCAGTGAAGGGTTGGTTTGAGGGCAGGCACTCATGGTCCTAGGAAGCCTTGAAAATAGCTGTTTGTGTGTATGCAAAGAAGCTGCTCTAGGAGATTTTTGGAGTGCTTTAACAAAGAAGGAAAATGCCTGAGAATCATGCGTTGTATATTTGAAATTCACTTGCATTCTGAATTTCTGCAGTTAATGTTTTCAAGTATCTCTGCAACTAAGAGAAAAAAAAGCATGAGAAACTAAGAGAAAAAGAAAAATCATCAAGACTGAGTCTCATGTAATCAAGGAGGTTAGAAGATTATTAGGGATTATTAGATAAATGTTGAAAGATCAGTGATTTATTGTTGCATTTACAGAAGTTGGTAACTCTATTAGCATGGTTTTGAATTCTTGTTCCAGTGTAGTTTTTAGGTGTTCAGTGAGTAAAAATAACTAATATAATAAACTCATTTTGGGTGATTTTTTCCTAGACACAGTCACTGTTTAAAAAAAATAAGCTGTATTGAAGTGCAGAGTTCGTTGCAGAATGCACTGTGAGGTTTTGTGGAATCTGTAGTGGAGGATGCAGGAAGCTGTCTCTGAATTCCCTGTGCCTCTGACTTGGCTCTGTGTGACAGCAGAGGGTGCTGGTGCCATCCCTGAGCAGCGCAGGGGGAGGATTTTGGTGAATGTTTGCACTGTTCCAGGGAGAGGAAAGCACTAAACACCAGCCTTCTCATGTAGAACTTCTGATAGAGAGGGGCCCCAAATGTATTATGTTATGTCTTCTTAAGGGCTGTTGTCTAAAATAAAAGATATAATTTGTTTTGAAGTATTACAGTAGAAACTCTCAGCTCAGAAAAGCTGCAGCTCCTGAGTGTGTGCCACCTGCTCTCCTAAGTGCTTTTCAGATCAATACAGGAAGGAAATTAGCCTGTGAGGGTACTCTGTCCTTTAGAACTGTTCCTGGAAGAGGATAGATCTGAAGGATGCAGGTAATGAAAGATGTGATTAGCAGCCCAATAAAAAAGGCAAACCTTTCTCTTTGTCTTTTCCTCCAGTGTTTGATAACCAACCTACAATTTTCTTAGAGATTTATCCTGGTTATAAGATTTGACAAATTTGTCACATCAGTCATCACCAAAATATTAGTAAAGATGACGTGGAACCTCTTGGGGAATCTGACCTTGATTTGCTTGCTATACTATAGAATTCTGTCTCCTATATGTTGTCAGAAAATATTGCACCCAATTTGTTGCAGGCTACAACCTGGGATAGTTCTTGGTGCAGAGGTTCACTGAAACCTCTGATTGCCATTGAAAACAGCTTTCTATGTCTTTTATGGAAATAGGCAGATGAAATAAACTGTAATTCTGGTTTTGGAACACAAACCCATTAATCTGCCCAGAACAAAAATGTTACTTGGGTATTTCCAGCTGGGTAGTTGAAGGGGCATGGCTTGATGAGGAGTGAAAGTTCAGCAGGAGAAATGAAAGGCTTAGAGTGGGAAGCTGCAATTCAAATTACCCTTCCATAGTGGGATTGATCTAAGCCCAAGGAAGGGCACTGAAAGCAATCTCTAAATAGTGATTTTTCCTGCATTTCTCTCTGCATGTAAGGGATACCAGTGCTCATTGCTTTGAGCCACATTAAGGAGGTGAGCACCATGACTGTGGTGCAAATCAAAACCTGGTGTAGCTGCTGATCAAGTCCACAGCAGAGCAGCACTTTAAAAGGAATTGCTGTATGATCTGTGCATTAAAAATGCAACTTCTCAGGAGTGAACTAAGCCAAACGTTAGCAGCTTCCTCTGACTTGAGGGGCAGATTATTGACTATGGAAAATGTGAGATGCTATTTTTATTCTCATTGTGCTAGGAGTGATTTAAAAAGAAGCTATTTTAATAGCTGTTTATTTTTTAGAGGCAGTTCAAAGAAGAAGAATCTAGAGGCAGATTATCTAAACAGGATTATTAACTGTCAAGTCTTGGACTGATCTGTAAGCCAAGTTAGCCACTAAACAAGAAGCAGGTAAGGAAATGGGTGAAGCACAGAATATTTAATTTATATAATTTTGTTTTATGTAGAAATAGACAGAGGAAGAGATTGATTGACATAAATAACCTACATGGAAAAGGTTGTTTGGTAGCTGGAAGCCTCATTCCAGCCTTTCTTCTCTCTGCCTCAGAATATACTTCCCTCTCTAAGCATTCTTACTTTTCATTTGGGGGATAAAACCCAATTTTTACTTAACCTGTTTTGTAGTCAGTCCAATTGTTACTTAACCTGTTTTGTAGTCAGTCCTATTTTATGGAATTTGGATGAAAAGCTGACAAATGCAAGATCACTTGTCAATGCTGGCAATCCTTGTTCAAAGTTCATCCTAATCTATGTGGTTAAACTAATACTTCATTGCATTTTCTCTATGATACCATTCTGACTCCAAATTAGTTTTTGATTTACAGGTATTTTTCCAACACAGAAGGGTGGGATTAACTGCTTTAAAATTAGAGCCTTTCCACATTACTTAGGAATATGTTTCTGTGGCACTGAGGTAACTTCTTCCAAGTTACACAATAAATTCCCTGTAGCAACTGCAGCAATGTATGGGAAAAGGTCGAAGTCCTGAGGCTGTGTTGTGTTTCCATAGAGTTGAAATTCCATGCAGCAGCCTCCCCTGATGGTGTCACAGCAGTGCAGAGAGCTGACAGAGCAGCAGGGGATGCTGCTGGGTGGCTCCTCGGGGTGGCACTCGGGGTGTGCTCAGTGTCACTGGTGACCTGGGCAAGGGGCTAAAGTGACCTGCACTGAGCAGCACTGCAGGGGTGACTTGCACCCCAAAGGTGCAAATTTACCAGTTGTGCCCATGGGATGAAATAACTGCACTGGACTTCGTGAGCTCTAGAAATATGTTTTATTCATACAGGAGTAAATAAAGTGACATTTCTGTCACGGCTAGATGTACAAATTAGGATATATCTACATTAAACTAGAGCTGTGTTTTAAACATAAGGGGCATTTACTCAGTTTGGATCCTGAGTCATGCATATTTCAAAGAGGAGGAATAAATATATGTTTTAGTACAGCATTCAATTCGTAAAGGGAGTTCTGCCCAAAGATGAGTGACCTTATCTGTAGTTGCATGAAAAAAATCAGAACAGAGCCTCATTTTGTGGGGGTTTTTCTTCCACTTTGAGAGAACAATTTATTACATAAGCATCCTTAGTGTAATGATCCCTATTAAAAAAATAATTGTCTCCTTTCTTTGCATTGTTTATAAAATAAGATGTACTTCATCCTGTAGTAGAATAATCACAAAATAATTGAGTGCAAAATGCTAGAAAAATCAATATCAGTTCCTATTTGCTATTTATTTAATAATTTCAGAGCATTACTTTCTACTAATTCTGTACCAATAGTACCAAATTCTGCAAGGTACTTCACCATGTTGGGTGTGGGCTGAGGCTTGGACAGACCCCGTGGGGCCTGTCCAAAGGCAGATTGTGGGTTAAGTCCTGCTCTTCACTGGACAAATTGGATTAGGCCCCTTTTAAGAGATGTTTAAGCAAACTGGAACAAAGCTTTCAGGAAAGTGTGTTATTTTTTCAATAGCAAACCATGTCATGCAAATTCAAAAGAAATAACTCAGGGGTTGATGTGGCATGGGCTGATGTGACAAAGTGTAATACTGCAATCTAGAGTCGAACCATACTTGGATGGGAGAAAAGTTGGGTCTTAGCATTTATTCCTGGGAATCCAAGCCTGTAACCAGGTTGGTGGGGCTCTGGGCTGTGCTCAGTCTAATGCCTCTGGGACGTGTGTTTGCCTTAGACTTGCTGGGTGTGAAGGTCTTCACTTATTCCTAGCTAATGCACCCCAAAACAGTATCTGAAGTGCTCAGAAGTTCCAAGCAAATGCATCTTCACTAAAGCCACACTCTCAGTCACTCCTGAGAGTCCTTTAAACCAGCAGTTGCTCCGTGGGGCCCTGCCTTTTTGGCTTTGTATTTAGCAGCTCCCTCCTGCCATTCAGCAGCACAAGTGTGGGTGCAGCTTCAGTCTAGGGGCTCTCTTGAGAGAGCTGTGGCCAGTCCTTGCCCACACAGGTTGTTCCACGGTGTGTTTGGTCAATTTGGCTCACTGGCTTTCCTGCAGTACTGGTGGCTTTATGGCTGCCAGCCACTGCTTTGGCCCAGTGTGCTCATTCACATATAGCAACTTCACCAAAGTCACTGCAGTTGACAGGAACTGAGTGAATGTAATTTGTTTATGTTGGTTTTTATCTTATTCTGTCCTTTTCTAATGGATTTCACCTTTGAAGGCAGCAGCTCAAAAGTGACAGTATACAGACACACTGCTCTAATTGACTTTTAGAGCACGCCACTCCTTTAAAGGGCAGTTTGCATCTCTGAAGCCAATGCCACAGCAGAAAGAGCTGCCACGGCACGGTGGGACGCCTGGACCCCTCTGTGGAGAGACTTAGGGAGTGGAAGAGCCTATTCCCTTCCCTGCCCGGGCCCCGGCTGGAGCGGGGTGCAGCTGGACCGGCAGGGCCGGGCCCGTCCCTCAGGGGCTCGGCCCGGTCCCTCAGGGGCTCGGCGGCCCCAGGGCCCGGCCCGGTCCCTCAGGGGCTGTCCCGGGGCCGCTGCCTCTCTGCCCCCGCCGCTCCGCAAAGCCCTGGCTTTTGTTTACCCTCCCCTGGTGTTTCCCTCGCTGTGCTGATGTAACCGTTTCATAATAACCTAGTCCTCAAAATTAATTTCTCATTTTTTGCCGTGTGGGAGCAGCGGAGCCAGAGGAGGAAGATCGGATCCCTTTGCTCGGACCAGCCGCCTGTCATTCCTGTCACTCTTTAATAACGGGAGTCTCAGGAGTGGGTGCACACACTTTTGTATTGACTGAGCAGAAAAACCAGCAGTTTTCCAGACAGAACTCTCATACTTTTCCTAGACTTTTGCATTTGTTTTTATTAACAGTGTGGGGCTGTAACCATAGCACTGCAATAAAGATTTTTTATTTTAGGGAGTGACCTAAACAGCAACACTCTTTATGCAATTTTCCAAAGAAATGTAAAATAACAACAAGGATTTCAGTGTTAAGTGGCACTTGGGGCTTTCTTTCAGATCTGAGGAACAGCTCCGTCAGACAGGAACAATCTGCTAAAGCCAATGGAATTAGTTTGGTCTAAATAAGATTATAATTGGGTCTTTCTGTTTCTGCATTGCTCAAAAATAAATCCCAGTAAACAACTTGAGGTCAAGTCTCCTCTTAGCTATGCCAGAACTGTGTTGAAATTGGGGGAAATTGCTCCAAATTCACACTGCCTGATAGCCTACAGCATAAAAATGGTTAAATATATATCTGTGTTTCCTAGGTAGCCCTTTCAGAACTTGACTTGTAATTAACAGTTGTAGTGTCTTACTAGAAATACTGTTTTGTTGGCTTCTTTGACTTCCTCAAGTTTACATACAGCAACAGCCTCCTTTGCAACTTCACCAAAGTCACTGGCATGGACAGGAACTGAGTGAATGTCATTTGTTTTTCTGTCACTGCAGACATTCCTTCCCCTGAACTGTCCCAAGGTGGGAGATTTCACAGCCTGACCAAGTTGAGATTTTGGTTCTGTGTGCTGTGGAACTGTAATGCAGAGATGCTGCTCTGGTCCAAGTTTGGATCTCAACTCTCTCAAAGCATGGAGATATTTGGAAGATTGTTTTTGTTTTTAAACCTGTACAATTTTCTTGTTCTTATAAACAGTGTTAATTTTGGAGTCACTCTATTAATATTCAGCCTAATAGCAGAATAGCTGCTACTATCAACACATAATCATAAATATTTCTACTAATAGCCCAAGCCTGACATTCTGACTCTAATTAATCTGATTAGCTTAATAATAAATTACATTAATGCTTTGGACATATTTTTTAACTGGTGAGGCTGCTAATCAGTTTTGCTAAAGTGGCATTCTCTGAGCTAGAGATTTACCTTGCTTGAAGGCAGTATTAATCCCTGGCTACAAAGATGACTGTCTTTGTGTTTCTGGAATCATCAAACTAACATTTTTTTGCCTTTATTCTTTGTAGTGCAGTGATGTGCATTGAAAGAAATCAATTTATGGGAAACAGTCTGTCTACAGCATGAAAAATAGTTTTGGGGTAGGTCTGAATTTATTTTTGCTTTCTGAAGTCTTTGATGAGTTAACAGCTGTGTCCTGAAAGCACAGAAATGAGAGTTAAACTGAATGACCTGTGACCATTTATCATCACAGAAGCAGTGAAGTGCCTGTGTCTAATGCTGGCCTATGTTTGGAGGCAAATTTTCTCTAGCTAGGAAAATAGGAAGGGCTGAAAATAGGCAGCAGGTTTCCGTTCTGGTTTCCCAGAAGAGTGTGTGTGTTTTGGCTCCAAAGGAGGCAGGGAGTAGACATAGAGCTTTTACCTGTTTTCTACAGGACATTACTTCACACTTGCCTGATACCTATTTCATGGAATATATTCTGCAAATTTGCCTTCTAGCACTGGTTTGCTGTGGAAGCTTGTCCAGCATCTTTTATGCTCTCCTTTTACCTGTTTTCTACAGGACATCCCACTTCACACTTGCCTGATACCTATTTCATGGAATATATTCTGCAAATTTGCCTTCTAGCACTGGTTTGCTGTGGAAGCTTGTCCAGCATCTTTTATGCTCTAGTGAGACTTGTGGATGGTTGACTTTGACCAATGTGAAATGGTGGTTTCACCTTCAGTGCCTTTGCTGAACTACCACTGGTGCAAACTGCCTCCACAGAATAAACCCAGTGTAAACTTTTCTTAAAGGATTGAGGAAAAAAGTTGGTCTCTGGCAGTGAAATGCTGTTTTTATTTTAGGCATCTCAATGTATGAGTGAGGAAGTAATCTGATTAGCACATTTGCTAGAGAAATGAACCAATGGGAAGGTGAAAATATTAATAAAAGATAGAGTTGATTTATACTCAAACTGGCCTTTAAATTTGCAATATATGCTGTAAGAACATGCTTATATAACCTCTATTTCTATTCATAAAGGTTTATGTGGGTCTATATTGAATTATGCATTTAAAATTAATCCACTGAGGCAGCCCACTGAGATGCCACTTCTCATTTAGTAACTGCATTAAGGACTTTGTGCTTCATTTAGAAACTGTGAGAAGCTTGCTTTGTGCTGTGGAGAGGAACTGGCCTGCCAGATTCAGACTGGCTATTATAGGGTCTTTAAAACAACGTGTCTCTGTGTCTGTCTCTCCCCAAGTTACCAGCAAAACTCTATTCTTGACTCGTGTGACGCGACTCAGGCAGCTTGGCTGAACCTGACAGACCCGACCGAGCTGGGTCAGATTCCTAGAAAAGATTAATGGAGGTTTTCTTCAGGGGCTGGGAACAGCTGACTCTGCCTTTGCAAGGCTCTGGGGACCCAGAATGAACAGACACACACATCAGGATTTTGTACCAGCAGCTGTAATTCAGATTTATTAAGTGTTTTGTTTGTGTAGCTTTCCAGTTCCTCAGACATTGCAAAAGGGTCAAGAGCTCTTCTAGATGTTTACATGGATTTTATTCTAAGAAATCTTAGACTCTTAGTTTGTCTGATGTGCATTCTTCAGAGTGCAATTATGCTGCAAAAATGGCATTGTGAGGCTCTAGGTTGTGTCTGAACTAAACTTCTTTGGCTTAAAAATAAAAGCTTAGTTGTTCTGCATATCCGCACTAGTGAAAAAACCAGATTTATATATCTACAAAGCTTATCTTGTTGATTACAAAAATTGACTTGTGGGAATGACTACCTTAATTGGCTCTGGGCAAACCTGTTGTCTCTCTATTCTGCTTTTGGTTGTTATTATCATTAAGATAGTGCTTTGTGGTCTTAGTTTAAAAAGCTTGTGAAATACCTGGCAAGGCTCACTTTGTATTTCTGAGAACTGTGCTTATACTGCTAAAATATTCAAGTGTCTTCTGAATAATTAAGAAGTTAATTCTGTGAATACTGACACTGAATAAGTTTTCTCTCATACAGAGTTGTGTATCTTCTCTTCCATATTTCCCACCACATTGTTCCCTGTCCCTTGTATTCTCCACTCCACCTTGCAGATACTCCAGAGCCACCTGGAAGTTCACCATGTTCTCTCTGTGTGCACCTGTGTGTTGGGTGATTGGCTGGCAGGCTGAAATTTGAAAGGTGGTAGAAATATAAAAAAAATTGGTTAAAAGTCTTGTTCAAAACTTCTCAGAGATGATGGACGTGCAGGATCATATTGTAAGTGAAGTTCTGTATAAACCCAGGTTAAAAGTATAAATATTTGTAAGAAGAACATTCTCTCATTTTTACATTGTCTCCACTTACCAAACATGTTTTGTTTGCTGCTTTATTTCTGTGTGAGAGAATTGATATGTGTGACTTACTAGAGGAAAGCTAAGTTGAAAAAAGGGATTTTTATGTAAGTACAGAAAGTGCTTATTCTCCTGATCAATTTTATCTGCTGAAGGATTAAATTCCATAGTCTAGATTCAGCTGCTATAAAAATTTGTCTCTTGCCTGTGTGATTATGCTCAACTAGATGAAGGTTTCACTGCTGCAGGGTGTCACGCAGCCAGTCCCAGAGAGGACTTTGACTGTCAGGGTAGGTACTTTAAGTAAAATGCAAAAGGTAAGGTAAATAACATCTATATATAATAGACATCATTCTAAAACAGTCTAGCCTTTGACAGATATATGACAAAATTAAGACTGAAATCCTCAAAGTTATTTAGGTGTCTCATTAATGCAATGGAGAACTGTATGTGTGACTATTTAGGGACCTGAAGTTAAATCAGAAAATAATGAACATCTTGAGGAAATTATTATCAAAGATTAAAATAGATCAGAAACATCTTTCTTTAAGTCTCACCGTTTAAATGACTCCTTACAGGTTTATTTGTGTTTAGATTAAGGGTAAGTAAGATCATAAAATTAAATGTTCATTTTGATATGTGAAAAGCAACTGGTTGCATAACTGCCGAGTTATGAAACCTATATTTTTGTCCTCTGCATTCTGAACATCTGTGGCCTATATTTAATTGTAGTTTTCATCTTCAGTTTGAAGAAACAATGTTTAGCCTGAAGACAAAAGTGATCAGTGTAGTGAAATCAGCTAAATAGTGTGGCTGAGTCTCACTTGCTAATGGAAAAAGGCATTTTTATGCATGTTCTAACTTAGAAATGTTATTAATTTGATAGCTTAAATACAGTTAAAGATACTGCGCTATTCTGAACAATGTGAAGAATGAAGGTATTAAGATGTGGAGGGATTGTACCTCAAGAGGAACAGGTGCGTAAGGATAGAAACATGGGGCCATATTGCACCATCAATTTTTAAGCAGAAATCTGTACTGGTTCCAGTAGGAAGTAATTCTGGTAAAATATTGATGAAATGATGTGATATGACCCATGGGCAGGAAATAAGGAAATGTGCAAAGTACAGCAAGCCAGTAGAAGTAGGGGAAATTATATGAAATGAATAAACAAAAGGAATGAGCAACTTCAGCAGTAATATTCCTGAAGAGTTGGGAGAATGATACAGAAAGGAGGTTTTACATAGGGTGGAAACATGATAATGTAATCACCTTTCCCTCAGCAGTCCATACAGCCAGAGAGCTTCAGCCCAGATTTGCAGCTGTGATCTGTGTTTTGCAGTTGGTCCATATAATGGACTGGATGAGGTTTCTGTTTCAGTCAGCCTCTTTTTTTGACATGAAATTCAAATCCAAATGCTAATCTGCATTTGTGACTCAGAAATCTCTAAGTGACATCCTTACCAAAGAAAGAAAAGATGGAGCCTTCATGTAGAAATAGAAAGGTGATGTTTGAAGGATGTTTTTTAATTTTTAAAATGTAGGTAGTCAAGAACTTCTGAGATGTTTGTGTTCAATTTGCTTCCATATTATTGTAGCTGTTAAATTCAAGGTCTCCATAGGCTTCTTAAGCCATGTCTGAGTTGCAAATCAAGCTGTCTGCAAGTATACGCTACTGACAAAAAACAAAGCAGGTTAGGAAGTATTAATTTTAAAACAAATTCTATTGTTAGATGTAAATCTGAGGTTTCCCAGGTGCAATCTTCAGGAGAGATCTTGAGGCAAAACTACAATAGGATTTATTTCCACAGAGGTAAGGAATTCTAAACTCCAGTTTCTGCCTGCACATCTCAGGACATAGTTGGTTTGTCTGGCTTGGGATGGGCTCCTCAGTAATGAAGTCTTGTTCATAGCCGTGGCATTAAAGAGCCTTACCAACGAGGTGTCCCAGTTAACTGAACTGAAGGTGGAAATATTACCATCTTTTATTAAAATGTAACTTCTCATATTCTGCCAGAGACATAATAAGCATTTTGAGAGTTTTCTAACACATTGCCATTCATTTCCCCACATTGGATCTGTAGATTGAAAAGAACAAAAAAAGGAAACCTCAAACATACGCCAATAACACATGCATATTTATGCAGCCAGCAGTTCCCTTGTTTAAGAAGAATACTCAAAGAATTAAATTTCACAATTTTCTGAAATAGCAAGGACATTTAAAGAGCATCTGTGGATTAGTCTGAGTAAGTTTGTTCTGTGAATTGCTTGAAAAGAAAACAGACTCTTCCTAGGTATTGCAACAAATTGTTCCCAGCACTTCAGCTTAACACAGTAAATGAAAATTCAGAGGAAGCAGCACAATATTGGATGAACCTGCTTCAGAACATTGGCTCAGGCCACAAAGCAAGTAATTAACAAGCTGAATGAAGCATTTAAGCCCACGCCTTATCATTTATGTAACTAACCTTTGAGTTTTGGACGCACTGGTATGCTGCAGTGAAGCCTACACAGTGTTTCTTTTATGTGTGTGTATTGAGCAAATGGGAAATGCATACCCTGCCATTTGTTTTTCACATTTTCAGCACTTATCAGAGTTCTCTGGCTGAGTGATCTTATATTGCAAAAATGTACGCCTCTTGGTCCTTTTTTCTGTAGTGCAGTATGAATCTAGACAAGCCTCAGCCTGGTTGTGTGTGGGGGGATGTATTCTGCTTTTAAGGGTGCTTCTGAGCTTGTTTAAAGCATCAGTAGCACTAGAAAAGAATTAATTGAATGCTACTTTTCACTAAAGAAGTGACTAACAAAAAGAGTGACGGGGATTCTGCAAAATCCTTGTTTGTGGAGGCAGCCTTCAAAAACAGCTTTGAAAACAAATCAGGAATGCTGTGAACCAATGAGGTCTCAAAAGATGTGGTGTCCATCCTCGTCACACATCTGCTTTTCCCATCCTGAGAAATACTGGGCATGTTAGGAATGCTGAGACTGCTGATGACAACATTAGTTTCCTACAGAGCTCATGAGATAGAAGTGGAGTGTAACATCACCTCTGCACTTGGGAAATGAGTCATTTTGCTTATTAATACTCTCGCTTTTGTCTCTCCCTCCTGTTCTTTTCTCCATCACTTTATAACCAGACTTATTTGGAACTCTTGTGAGACAAATACCATTTCTCC